TATTTGTGTAGAACATTAGTTCCGAACCACTAGCCAACTCAGCAGGTATATCCCTGCTCATATGGAAAGAAAATCACTGCAGAAAAAAAGGTTTCACACTGTATAAATGAGTAAGTGCGTGAGTTTGTGATGTGTTTAGCCTGCACACAGAGAGCCAGCACAGCATGATGCATACTTGCTATACCGTGGACTGGGTATGAATATGCTGTAAGTCACAGATCGGCAAACTGAGTGAGAGCCTGTGTGCATGTAGAGGTGGTGTAACGTCTTTGTTCTACAGCGAGTATAGACATTAGCAGACAACACCAGATGGTCGGCTAAAATGAGACAACGGAAGAGGGGGAGGAGAAGAAAGACGAGATCATTCCATCATTTCCGCGACATTCTTCTTCTGCTTCCCTCCCGCATAAACACAAACAAATGGGTACAAATACGGAGAAAGCAGAAGAGCTGTAGGAAAAGGCTTTTAAAGTGCTTATATTGGCATTCTGTTTGTAACAATCAGCAATGTTACAAATGTTGTAAGAGTTAATAAAGACTCCAATAAGGCAGCTTCAATGAAACCTCTAAGTTATCAGCACTAAAATGTACACATAGCTCAATAATTAAAGTTATAGGTACCCAAGAAGATATTTCAATGTTTAAATACAGGTTGTATAAGTCAACAGCAAAACCTCTGAGTTTGTTGAGAAAAAATGTTGATTGTGTTACCATGCAGACTTTTAAGTATTTATATTGCTGAAGCATCCTTTCAGTTTGCGACATACTGACTTATGAGCCTGCACCCACCGTTTTTAAAATTACCCAGATTTGAGGAAAGTTCTTCATATGAGCCCACAAATGTTCTGTCAAATTTAGTGTCGGGCTTTTATAAAATATAATTTTCTCCAGGTGAGGCTGAAATTGCTCTTCATCTCCAGCTCTCCAACCAATACTTTAAAGCTTTGGATCAAAATGACTAGTATCTGAAACTAATTTAAACTTTATTCACTCTAGAGGAAAGAAGACCCACACCATGATGCTGCCACCACCCTGTCTCCCTGTAAGTATTTTATTATTTTGTTAATATGTTGTTTTGAATGCCAAATGTATATCTATGTAATCAAAATGTTCCAGTTTGGTTTCACTATACAAGGTTTTGTCTTGCAACTATACTGTATGGATCAGACAAATAAAACATACATGAAATTGTCATCAAATGCAGAACATAAAAGCTTACATGGTTTCCCTTCACATGCAAATACATGTTTGTCTCCCTGGTAAATCTGGTATCATTACCATACTTCTGGCAGCATCTCTGACTAATTTCTACCACATCTTCCATTTTGTATTTATGAAAAATAGATTCTGTATGTGTAAAACATGTGTTTGTCCTGGGACATGTGGATTTTATCGCAGGTTTCTCTGACTGATGGCCGATGTGAATGCTAATAGAGTTTATGTTTCAAAAAGCATCCGTTACGATTGTACAAATTAACCAAATCCAACCAGTTTATTATATTTTTAAAATTTTTTATCCAACAGATTTGTTTGTTTTTAAGATACATTTTATACTAAAGGGTTAAAAAGAGTAAAAGCTTTTATTGTATTATGCATGGCAACATTATTATGATTTTTTTTAAGGGAAACTTATCCAAATATCCTTCAATAGTGCACCAGCAATTCACAATCTATCCTCTAATTAATGTTTAAGCACATGAGCATATCTATGAACTTTTAATTTGAAAATAGGTTTATACAACTTCAGAATCAGACAACAGAAACTTGCAACAATGCCTTACCCATGGGGCAGAGTGAGCCGTAAAGTTTTCTAAGAAACGCAACAACACACAACAACATTTCAGGAAAATATGTCTACTATAAACAAAGAGTAAATACAAGACATGGTGGTCTATATAAAACAACAGCTAAGGCTTGCAGCACTCCAGCGTTGCTTGCTAATTAGTTTTATAGTATGTGGTGAACTGAAATGAAGAACAAGAGTTGAAAAAAATCTGACATTTTGTGCATACACCCCAAAAATGCATCCTTGGCTTTCACAGGCAGCAAACGACCCAAGAGTTCAGACATGCACACACGATCAAATCCTGGATACATTAACAAATTATCCCAAATGTTAACACATGCTCGCACACTAACACTTCACAGCTTTTCCTGTCTGCAGACAGAGAGTTTCCTATGGGGCTCAGAGTCACATGCACATGTTTGTGTTTGGTCGCCTGGCAGCCGTTGAGGAAACATCAGTCGACAGGAGCGGAAAGAGGCACAAAGGGAAGAGACATAGAGAGCAATGTAAAAACAGAATAAGACACATTGAGGAAGAGGAAACATAAACCACAGACGTGAGTTAAGGGTAAAGAGAGGAGGCAAATTTTAATTCTTCTAATCAAAATGTGCCCCTAAAAGTTTAGAAAAATAATATAACGTTTCATTAAATATCATATTCTGCAAGTGTGGGCAAGTAAAAGAAAAAAATTACAATTACAACTATCTGACAATTATCAGCATTTTTTTTTTGTGATGCTAATATCATCCAATTTCATAAAAAAGACATCCAGAGAAGGGAACAGTGAATTGATCTTTTGTCTATTTTTCATATTTAGAAATATAAAGAAATACATTGTTTTCACTTTTGCTTTAAAGTGAAGACAGACTGCCAACAGCAACAAAAAAAAAAAATCCAGAAAAGCAAGTGTCATTGAATGAAATAAAAATCTGATCCCACAGGAAACATGTCATGACACGCATCACAACCATAAATAGCCAAGTTTCTAAGTGAAGCCATCTTTGACAGACATTTCCACCGATGCCCACAATAAGACTAAGGCTTTTTGAGGTCACCATATGACGCCACACAGGCAAACTGAAATTGTTAGGTTTCAAGGGCTATCTATATTTGTTTGAAGATTTAGTAAGATGTTCACATTATGGACAGAAATAGAATTTTCCAGTTTCAAGTTGGAAAAATCCCTAACAAATTGCAAATCTTTTTTTTTTTTTTACTTGATATTGAAATATGCATTCATAGAAAAAGCATTCCTTCTACATGTTTGATTAGTTGTATTTTTGTAAACCTTTCATACAAAAACAATCCATATGTATTATCAGTAACAGTTCTTAGATTGGTTTATGAGTAAATTCACAAGTCTCTGTTTGTTTGTAAAGACTCAAGTTTGAACTCCGTAAAGGGAGTACAGTCAAAAGCAGCCATGAGAAATGATTTTGATGCAGTAAAGATTAGGGACTCACAAGAACTAATTTTTTTGGTTGTTGGAGTTGATTTGCTCCACATTAATTTAGTTTTTTTTTTTTTTTCCACCTTGCAAATAGTTGAGTACCGCCTACGGTCGCCCAACAGCCACCAGTGCAACTTGCATCATGGACTTTGAGTTTGGTCAAAGCTGGAAAACATTTTCTTGTATCAGTTCTTCACACATGTAACTTGGGATTTTGACTTTAAAAGTTCTTTAAAATGTTTGGGTTTCCTGCTAAACAATTCCCTTACTCATACCTTCAGTTCCATTAAAGAGGTTTTTTGTGGATTGATGACTAGAGACTAGTAATTTTCATAAGCTTTCTCTTTCGCCACTCCATTGTTGCCTTGCTAGGATATCTTGAGATCCTGATATACTGGACGATTAACCCACTGGTCAGGTTGAGATCCTGATATACTGGACGATTAACCCACTGGTCAGGTTGAAAGATAAAGTTTTTCTTTCAAGCTGTGACCAAATTTGACCTTCCTCTGTAATCCCTCAATGCTGGTGTTCCAGTCATCCCATTAATATATCGGCCTTAACCAGTACCTTGAGCAGAAGACAGCCTCAAAACATAATAATTCCATTTATTGTATCAGTTCTTCACACATATGTGATCAGTGGAAGATCTCACTTCTCTACGTTTTTTCTCTATGTAAACATGGTAGGATGAGTTGAAAGACCTCAATTAAAGTGCCATCTAACCACAGAACTTTGTCCAAAACTTTTACTGAATGATTCAGATATTCACTGAATCTAGGAAGACCTTTACATACATCTTCTTTAGCAGACTCCCATGAAGAAAGATCTTGCAGATGAGTGGATTTGAAGCTGGGAGTGATTGATGGTAAATTCATATTTCTTCAGTTTCTCCAAATAATTATACAAATATCAGTCACCTCTCCAAACTTCTTTCTCGTGGTTTTGAAATCCATTCTATCCTTGTTCAAAAACCCAATCTTGTCCTTGAGATCATCTGAAGTCTCTTTGGTCGTTCATGTGGTAGCAGGGAGGTTTTAATGGAAAGAAATTGATTTTATGGACGGATGTGTTTTATTTCCATAACAAGATAAAATAATTAATTGACTGATTGATCAGTGTGGCACATGGCCAATTTGTTGGAGCCTGAATTCTGGCTCTTCTGGAGGGAATCAAATATTTATTTAACTCAATGACACAAATTAGATTTTGACCTTTATGTATTTTGTTTGGACTTTTTATGTATTGTTTTTCTCCCCACGTAATATAATGACACCATCGTGAAGGAGAGACAGATAAAGAGAAAACAATCATTAGCATAGAAATGTAATTTTGTAATTGGTGAATTAAAATAAAAGGAAGACAAGGTAAATTTTTTTTAACCAAAGTAAAAAAGCTGTTAGTGCCAGAACTGTTTCTGATATAAAAAGTCAAGAGAAGTGAGGAAAATAAAACGAGTGAAAAAAAGAAGTTTATTGAGAATATTAGAACAGAGGTGAAATTTAGCATAATGTGTAAAAACATGTGCAGAAAAAAATCAGATCTGACAAAATTTTCTAACCCTTACAAAGAGATTTGTCCACAGCGGGATAAAGCAGCGGTACAACACTGCAGAATCAAGCCAAATTTCTTTGAAAATTAAAATTAAACAAAATTACCAGAATGAATAAGACACTATAGCCTTTTAATTGACAGGTGATTCTTCAAGCCAACATAAAATCTTGTTCTGCTTGCTGCCATTTTAGCATTTGGACTGGTTCTTACCATTTCTCTGGGCAGGAACATCTCATCCTGCCGTAAAACCACCAGGGACACAGTCTCTCCTTGACGAGTGCTGCGGAGCATACACACCAGCTCCTCCTGGCCCACCCCGGTGATATCCACACCGTTTAGCTATGCACACACATATCAGAAACTTGTCTCCATCAGCTTTGTTGGGGTATAACAAAAACTATTTGGGTAAGCTTTGCTATACCTCCAGTATGCGGTCTCCAGATTGAAGCCGTCCATCTTTGACAGCAGCTCCTCGTGGCAGAATGTTTTTGACTAGAATAGGACCCAGGCCGCGTATTGAGGAATCCCTGGTTACAACAGTAAATCCAAGACCTTCTGAACCTACAATCACATCCACAGAGAGATGCAGAAATCAGAGCTTTTCTCCAAAGGTCTGAATATATTTCAAGAGGATTTTAAGGTGAAAATCTGAATTCAATGTCCCACACACAGGTACTTTATTCTGAGAGCTTAGGTGCAGTGTTGTTGACTCAGCTCCTGACTCCATATAATATACTCTGTGTGTGTTAACTTTAAGTATTGAACGATTGAATATTTTGCTTTAAATTTTCAGATACAGGTGCAGCAACACATCTGCAAGCATTAAGGGGGTTCAGGAGAAGGTCAGAAAGGACAGCAGGAAGAAAAAATTAGAAGGAAGGAGGAAACCAGAAAGGAAGGACAAATAGATGGAGAAAAGGAAGGACATGGATGAAAAAAAAAGAGGGTTCAGGTATAGGTCAAAAAGGATGAGAAGAAGACAAGAGTCAAAGTGAAATCAATGAAACACATTGGAAACATAGAGCCAATGTTCTGGAAAAGAAGAAGATAAAGACAAAAAACTTAATCACAGAAAATATGTGCACATATAAATGTGTATGAAAGGTCTCCATACACATGGCCGTGAGAACAGAAAAAACATTGCATGCAGACACAGGGACTGGCTGTGTGGTTTATAGACCTCATTAAGTCTGGTCTCTTTAGCAGAGCCAAGTCAGCAGTTTGGGCCGCTATGAATTCATATCAGCAGAAATGAACAGATCAATAAAGACTTAATAGACCCTGAAGAGAAGGAATGTGGAAGATGGAGAGAGGAAAGCGACTTTGCCTGATAGGTTTACAGAAACAGAAACAAATCCATATGAACTGGTAAGGCAAACACCATGCCAAGTAACAAATTAAAGATTTACAGTTTTAAATAAATTTAACTAAAATGAAAAAGGCAAATCCCACAAACCAAGAAAAAAAATTAAATGCTGAATGTTTAACTGAAAATGGCCTACAACAATTTAGTCTCACTGCAGGATCTTTATGCAGTGAATTTAGAAAAGTTTATACTTTCATCCACTCCCTTGAATATATAAAACAAACATTTTAACACTATGCTTCATGCTGTAATGTTTTGTACGTATTCAAAATACAAACAAAGATGTTTCCAACCTTTCTTTAAATCAATCCGCAGCCTTCGCCCTCCTCTTTTATTGGACACCAAGCTGGAGAGCGCCGGACTTTTTCTGTGCAGAGGGCTATCACCTCTCTCCTTTGGACTCTACATTAAGAACATGGAGCTTTTAGGACAACTTCAAACAAAATACATAGAACAGTAATGAACAGTAAGTAACAACATTTGGGCTTGTGATGTCAACTTATATATATTCTAATTTTAAACATTTTAAGACTCTAATTCTTTAGATACACAAATGTAAGCCTTTTTAAGCCTTTTTAAGGATGTGCGAACACCCAGAGTTAGAAGCTATTCTTCAAAAACTCCTTTAATTAGGAGATGTAGGTCTGCCTGGAGCCAGAAGTGCCAAGAAATCCTTTTTGGTTTATCTGCACACAACACCCTGGATGTTCTGGATCATAAACATTTTTAAGGGTAAAAGAGCCAACATTTAATAACTTAAATTTCTCTTTTTGTTTTAACAGCATAACTTTTTTTAAAAAATCAGTAAGATTTAATAGGAGATATTTCTGCTGTCAGACTAAATATGGAACCTGTAAAAACTGGATAGATGAATGGAAGGAATGAATTCTGTCTTTTCTCCTCCCTTACTGGAAACAGAATGAACTTCCAGACTTTTCCAGACAGTTTACAACAAAGCAATTGAATAAATATATCAAATACGATGGTTAAAATAAAAAAAAATCAAAATGTGTGCCTTCTCAATCTGTTTATAGAACTGTACAGAGTTCTTGCATGACCAACAAAACTTATTTTTAATAAAATAAGATAATAAGCTGTTGCTAAGAAACTGTTCCCTCTGAGCCAGTTGTTTTTCAAATGTCAGCCAAGTAACCATAGTGACGTTGACGACATGGTTACATGTGTTCGGGTTTTATGAGCTTTTTAGCTCTAGGAGGAAGGTGGACATAAGGTAAAAATAAAGTGGAACTTATTGCTTTTTAAAGCCACAGGAAAATAATGAAAAACAAATAAGTATAGTAATAAATACAGAACTTAGAGAGAACCAAAACTTAGATCATGAGCGTTATACAATGGTGGGAGGAAACAGACCTGCTGAAGGTGTTTTATCTTGGCATGAATGCATGTTGTTTGATATCTGTGCTGTCTGCTTGTTGGTAAGTGAACCACTGCAATTTACTAGATCTTACAACTAAATTGTTATATCCGTTCAATGTTGTTGAGGCATTTTTACAGCACATTCGAGTGTTTTTAGTATAACTGAAGCACAACTCACACCAACTGCTTCAAGAATAGGAGTCTCTTCTACAAGACATGGAGTTGAATTCTCGGGAGGTTTAAACGCAGGTTTGGCTTTGACTGGTGGCGGTGGATCTTTGGCCTTGGTGACACGAGGGCTGCTGTTCGGAGCCGTACTGCTGACACACAGCTGACTGATCAAACCTTTCTCATATCTCTCTCTGTTTGACGAGGACACAACTTCCAAACGGACAAGTGGGGACCGCATCGCCTGACGAAAAATGTCCTGAGATCTACAAAGGAAAAGAAGAAAAAGAGAAAACAAAACAAAATAGTTAATTTAGTTTGATGAATTAGTTGTTTTGTTTTTGTCTTTTAAAAGAAAGCAAAGGCAGTTAGCAGATGCAGTGATAATTTCATTATTCATAAAAACATCCAATGAGTACTTATCAGTTTCAGACAAGAAAATTAATTATACTGTGGGAGGGCATAACTGAATTAGGAGAAAAATAGATACCATTAATAAATATGATTACACATGATGTATTTAAAGTATATCCCAGATCCTTGGTACTGAAAACTTTAAGAAATTTGATTTTTAACAATTACAAAACAGAATATCAAAGGAAATTATAGTTTTAGAAACTGATTCCTTTCAATTCCACTGAAACATCATCATTATGTGTGTAAAAATTTTCCTTTTCCTCCAGTTGAATTAGTAATGGCTATTTGCAGCGTTTTTCTTGTTTATCACCTTCTCTGAGCTCAAAGCCAAACAGTTGAGGAAGCATAGAGCCACAACACCTGGACACACAGCCATTAGAAACTCATAAAGAATAAAAAAGATCATTTTGCAGGGAATTAATTTAGATCAGATCATGCTAAGCAAGTTACAGGCACTGCGGTGTCAGGAGCAATTGCTAATCAGCATCATTCACCTCGGATAAGCAATGGAGTAAATCCAGTTAATTGAAATTTCATTTGATTGCACTCCTGTTGTTTTCCGAATAGTTTATTATGATTAGAGTTGACTTTGTTTGAAAGTCAGAAATAAAAAATTCCTCCACGAATTTGATGGAAAAATGTGAAACAGTAAAACTTTAAAATTTACAACTGATGTAAACTACTACGTCATTATGTATATTTACATTAAGAGTACAGTCATTTTAGCATAATGGAAAATAAAGTGTCTTAAGGCAATACTTTGCCTTGCAAATATAATCTCTGCTGACACATAATTATAGACAATCCATACAGTATGTCAATCTTAACATTACCCTGTGACAGAGTGTTAGTCTAAGGCAAAGACTGATTTGCCACAAAGGAACCAACATCTTCCAAAAAACTAATAATAATTTTCTATTTACATGAAAAAAAATTATATTTTCTGATTTCAAAACTGTACACATGTGCAAAAACCAAAGTGAATTTCCCATTATAAAATTCATAAACTACATTACAGTCAGGATATTATCAGATATTATAAAGTCAAAAATTTGTAAATAAATAAATAAATAAATAAGCAAACAAAAAAGATATGAGTTAAAATTAGGAAGTGAGAATGAGAATATTTTGTAATGCTTAATAATCTTAGTAAATATTAGAAACATTTCTAATATTTTTTTTCTTCATGCTAATTTCAGGGAATATCTTAGTTCTAAGGTTTCAAATCATGGAACATTATCCTTTTTTTCTTGAAAACGTGGAAGCCATATTTGTAAGGTTGTGAACAACATGATCAACAAAACACTAGAAGTTGAACTGTAGTCATGTAACTAATTTGTGGTACTCTCTTCCCAACCATTTGAACCCAACACTCACTCTGCACGAGCATGTATTATTAACAATTGCTTTTGCAGAGATTTAGATTGTATTGACCGCAGGATGAAATTAGATACGAAAGCTGTGTGTTTTGTTATGAGTATGGAGACCATTGTGCTCAGATGATATCACTATTAAGTCTGATTGAACAAGGCGTGCAGCCACATTTGTATGAAACCGATATTCTAATCAGACAGCCTCAATAATAATCTGGCATGGACAACGGCCCTGTGTCCATTCACACAAAACTTTGCTGCACAATACTACAGCTGAAATATCACCTGACAAGTCTGAACAGAAGCAGCAATGCTCTATGTTTGTAAGTGCAAATACAGTTTAGATACAGTGCAGGTGGATCTTAAACAACACAAAATACTTGTTTTTCGTTTTTCTTCCGTTTGATAGATGTTTGTGTTTCTCAGGCAGGCAAACTACATTCAAAATCCTATTTGATTAGTCTAGCATATATTTTGCCTATCATATATGGCACTGTAGAATGAGTCTCTACTTATGGTGTGTTACTTTTAGCTATTGAATGATTGAAATAAGTTAACGTATAAGTAATTTGTTAAGATCCACATTTATTTATTGTGTGAATCCTAAATTCATATTGCTCCATTTACTAACAACAAAAGGAATTGACTAACTGTGATGTAATGTGAACAAAATTTGCACTCCTGACCATTCTCCTTACATAATTTAAGAAAGTTTCAGTTTACAGCATTTATGTTGGGCATCTGTGCTGCTTTCTTAGAAAAAAATATGCAAAGTTTGTAAACCAAAGAAAATGTTAGCCTCTGAGGAAAAACAGAGATAAACAGCTGCACTCACTGGCTAAATGTCTTGTCCATGAGGTCAGTGTTGTTGATTTTCACAATGCACTCATCCTCCTGAAACAAGCCCTCCTTTCTTGAGCGGCTCTCTTCGTCCACACCACGAATATACAGACCAAGAGACCTGTGCCAGCAAGAGATACATAAAAATGAAAAAGTTAAAATTTTTCTTTGAAACATAGCATTAATAAATTTCTGATAGAAAATGAAAAGAAAAAAACTCCAAAAGTGTTTCACTAAGACATTTTAGAGGTTGCAATCAATAGATGGTCAGGGCTCCTAAACATTTTTCAACAAAAAATCCCAGAAGAGTTCTGAGCTCTTTATGGTCATTTCAAATATAAATCTCTAAAGTTTACCAGAAATTTATGGGTGATATTTACACATAGTTAGGTTTTGACAAAAAAGAAACATAAAAAGTCACAAAAAATAGGAGAGAAGCGAGAAAGGACAGATAGAAGGACAAAATAGAAAATGACACAAGAATGGATATAAGCAAGAAATAAAAGAAAAAGTGAATAAACTGAATAGACCTGTGGTAAAAAGAAAATAATAAACAAATATATCTTCAAAGAGGAAGTTATACAAATTTACAAATACAGTTCAACTACACAAGAATAAAAAAATCAGGGTACAAGAACAGTGATTGTAACGTGACGAAATGAAACTGCAACGAGGTGATGAGGAAAGGAATGAGTGGACGAGAATGTGTTAAGAATGAAGATTATAAGGACAGCGACGGGGTCTGCAAGAGTCATGAAAACAATAATTCAAAAACATCATGCTGTCCTTTAGAATGCTTAAAAAAAAAAAAAAAAACTGCTCACAGTGGGTTTTTTTATGTTTCTCTTTACTTGGTAGTTCCCACTATGTCTTCAGAGTTTATGTACTTCCAAAGGCTATTTTGTTTTCATGGTGTAGCAACAATTAGCTCTTATGGGGATGGGTGCTTTTTCAGTTGAAAACAATGCGGATGAATATACACAAAACTCACCGTCCGCTGAGTGAAGAGCAGTAGGGAACAACATGAATACCCAGAGGATTGTCCTCTCCCTGGGTCTCCACCATTCTGGTCAGACTAGAGAAAAAACATTTTGAATAAAAAAATAAATGAATACTTTTTTTGAGGAAACATTACTGCCACTATAATAAATTAGTACAATACTGTTAGAATCGCCAGTAGATTAACCCACTCAAAACAGTGGGCATGACAGTGGACAGGAGAACAAGAACATTCTCCTGTCCACAGGTAGAATCTGGTAAGCTGTTCAGGTGATGATGAATGATGGTGAGAATGGTGAGAACACTGCCTTCTCTCATTATCCTCAATAACACTGTCCACTTCCGGTTCCTTTTCTCATGTATTATTCGAGAGAGTAATTTTTTACAGACAATTTGAGTGATAAACTGAACTTAATGCACTGCTTAATAACTAGTGTCAATTAGAATGCATGTATGATTGAATTAAGTTGACTTTTTTGTGAAGTGTCTTGAAATGATGTCATCTAAATAAACTGAATTAAATTGAACGAAAGCTAGACAGATCACATGTGCTGGCTCCGATCTAATCTCAAAGCTTGTGTCTCTTGAGGAAAAGTTTGCAAATTGTTGCACTTGACTGACTTTAGATTTCCAATGAATGCTAATACCGTACTGAAAATATGCTTTTATGAAGTACTTAATCCGTGTCTGTGGATGCAAGCCTCAGAGAAGGGAGCGCTCTACTCAATTCAAGCCTAATAAAGGCATAGACCACAGTGGACGTATGTTTGAAGAATATGTTTTGTGCCTTTCTTCTCTGTGGGTTTCTTCCTTACTTTGAATCTCTTAATGTCTCTATGTGTGGTTTGGATTATTCAAGTGTATCTCTGCTTTACATCCTGCCTTTTAATGTGTGCGCGTGCTAAAGTCTTTGTTTGTTTGATTGGTTTATCTATCAGAGCACAGCCATTAATCCTCTCGTGACCTTCTCTCTGCTCCCAGTGTGTTTGAATGTGTGTGTGTGTGTGTGTGTGTGTCTTTTTAGCAAGTTTGTCTAAACTTTGTTTTGCAATCTTTCATTCATTCTCTGTCATAGTAAGTTCATCTCCCATTCTAGTCCATCCATCCATCCCTAAATCCCCATCAACTGATAGCACTACAGATGCTGACAAAGTCCAGAGAGGGTTACTGACGATTGTGGGCGGTAACAGTGAAGACATGCAAAGGATTCTAGCATGTTTCCTCTCTATGTTTCTCACACACAGACTCATAAATAGGCACACAAAGCTGAAATTGCCTCATCACAGCTCAGTAATTTTAAATAAATCCAAACAGCTGCAGACATGACCGTAAAGCAGAACAGACATTATTTTACACTCTGATTCTGCAAGTAGGACTTGTTTTAGGCCGACACAAAACCGGTAACTAGTCTGTGACTACAACAACACTTACACTACCCAAGCAGTAAAGCAACTATTATGAATTCTTCAATTACCCCAAGGCCCAAAAATAAATACCAAACAATGCTAAGAGGAAATGAAGTAGTACCATGGACCGTCAAGTGAACCATAACACACACATTTTATGAATCCCTAATATTGTCATTGCTTTTGAAGCCTGTCAGTGCCAGTACAAATCTTGATTTTGAGAACATGATATAGCTGTTAAAAATGTAAGCAATGAAACCCTAAAAAATACCAAACTTATTCCACTATAAACTTACTCAGCCACCTTGTAGTGTTGTTAAATATTCCAAATGCAATTATCTGTCCAGTACACTGAAACTAAGGGCTTTTGTCAAGTATTACCAATAGTAGTGTACAGAAGTTGCATGCTTCTTCAGTCAAAACAAACCACAATGCACTGCAGACAGTCACACAAACGCTAATCTTAACATGCTATTGCAACATTCCAAGCTATTTATTGTTGTTGAGATGTCTTGAAAATGCCCAAGTAACTGTCATTACTGTCACAACTCTTACGCAGATTGCCTCTGTGTCAGCCCGAGCTTGAGAATTTGAGTGATTATTATGAAAGTGGAAATCAAAATTACATTTCAAGTTTATTTTGGTGATGTCTACATCATAAATATGTCAAAAATACTGACATTTTCATTTCACCCAACTTCTCTTTTCTGATCAATTAAATTCATGTTACAACTCAATGTTTGCTTGGAATAACACATTCCAAGCATCACACTTGGGTGGTTGTTATTGTTTTCATACAGAACAGTACAAAAAAAAAAAAGAGCAAGATCCCAGATACTAGCAGGAATGAAGCTACCCTCCAGAGGGTAGCTTCATTCAGTCTTGTGGGAACTGCTTTTTGTTACTGAAATAAGTCCATTGCTGTGGTTTGGGCATTGGATGGACGGATGCTTACTATTCACTGGCACCTTGTTGTTGTGGTCCATTTTCATCACGAGAAATATATGAGATGTTCCTGTATTAGACAGATCCCTAAATACAGGCAACACATCCTTAAACCACAGTGTCAATTTAAATTAATAACTGAAAAAAAGGAGGTAGGAATCAGAGAAGCTTTAGAAATGAAACAGCGAGTGAGGGAGAGAGGAGGCGCTGAATTAATTAGACAAGGCTAATAAAAAGAATTATGAGCAGGAAAATAACATGCACCCCTCCCTTTATCTCTTCCTGCTGCTGTGCCTCTGATCTCCACCTACTACACACAAACACACACAGACACAAAAGCAATTGAGATCCATCTGCATTTCTTTTTTCTTCCTTTATAATATTTTTTTTTTGTGAAAGATGTTTGACAGGCTGCATCAATGCAAATACTGAAGTGGGGTTGAGAGAGGGAGCAACAAAACGGGTGAGACTTGAGAAAAGAGACACGGAGCGCTATGAATGAATAGGAGGGAGAAAAAGGAGCTGTATGCACATAGAGCAGGACAGAGCAAGGCAAAGAGAGATGAAGAGAGCAGGTGTTCTCTTTATCCAGCTGCCACTTTACCGATCCTGTCTATGAAAGACCGAAGCACTGAGGAGAAATGAAAAAGGAGGATATGCATCACCAAACCGCTCTCTTTGCACCAATGCATTTCACTCTCTCATTACTATTCTTATCTATATTATCTTTATTCTCCCCTCTTTTTTATGGTTCTCTAAGTGCACAGATGTAAAGATAAAAGTTAAATGTTACTGAAAAGATATACTATACAAAAACAAATACTCATTGCAGGAATTTTCTTAATAATTGAGAGCACATTATTACATTATAAAGGTTTTATTTTGAATATTTTGTCATTCAAATTTTCTGAAGAACCCTTAACTGAAAAAGTCAGAGAAATTCAAGCAACAGAACAGAAAATTAACAGACTCTCTCCCATTCTAGTCCATCCATCCATCCCTAAATCCCCATCAACTGATAGCACTACATATGCTGACAAAGTCCAGAGAGAGTTACTGAACAAGGTTCAAGTATAACCACAATAAGACCTTTTATCACAGTTGATGATCACCAAAGATGTATAGTTGCTCGTAAAGAACAAAATGCTTTTTAAATCTTGTTTGTTTTGTGCAACCAGTGGAACCTATTTACTTGTTCACCTCTTGCCTTCTAAATCACCTTCAATGCAGTGCCTTACTCACAAAGAAATATAGTGAAAACGCCATTTCAATAAACCAATTTGAAGTAAATCTGTTTCCCTGTATGAAAAAGGCCGTTTTGATTTATGCGTAATGAGTTCTTTGCGGCGCATGTGGTGTGGTTAAAATAATGATTAGCCATTACTGTACGTTTGAAGGCTCAGAAATACTCGCTCGCAAACACAAAGGGGACCACAGTGTGCGTGGAAACACAACGCACAAAACACAAAAAACACACATTTATTTAACTCCTGCTTTGCTGTTCTAGTATTTATGACCACATTCCCGCCTTCATTTTGAACTTTTTTTTGTGCAATTTCAAGGACCGTTTCCCTTGTGACCACAAAAACTATTACGTCACTTTAACATTACTCACAACTGGGATAGTTCTTATTAGATTAGACTATGTGTGCGTGAAAGGATATGTGTAAAAAGAAAAGTTAGAGTGAAAAAGACACAAATGGGACTTGGCAACTACTTTTGTAATAACCTTTGTATTTTCTGCACTGTAGTACCAGAGATGGTAATGGAACTGAAAAGGTTTCTATTTAGTTAGCTTAGCTATTGATTTGGCTGTCAGAATTGTCTATTACGGCAACAAATAAGTTGATAACGGCAAATCAGAAAAATAGGACATAAAATGCTGCAAACAGCTTTCATAGATAGTGCTGATATGTCTGTTTCCTTCTTTGAGCATAAGGTGATAAAATGTCAAATAATTATAATGAAACATAAAAAACCTTTAGGAAAACCTCTAGGTCTGCATAATGTGGACACTTGAAGCTTACAGCATATATTCAGGCATGCTCAACACTCTGTAAACTATGGCAGTTGGCCCACACTTGTTCAATTTTGCTGAACTGCGATCCAGAACCACACATCACTTTGGGGGTTGCAGGCAAAGGAAAGACTCATCCGCTCACAGCCAGATAAGCAAGGTTGGTTGCATTGGCTAACTCAGTCTTTGGTTACCAAGCAACAACTTGTTGAGTAACACAGCAGGAGTTTAAGATTTCACCAACATGCCACATAACCACTTAAATCAAAGCAACGGTGAGGAGTGAAAACTGTGGAGAAAAAAGGAAAGGTCAAGTTTGGCAGTATTTCAGATATTTAAAACTAATCAATAATTATCAACAAGGACTGATATGAATGCCATGAGCATCACACTCGTGAACTCGGTGCAACGTTTCCGTACCCCATGCACGTAGATTAGGTACCGGTTTTGACCGTGCCTTCCGATGACACACTTCCTCAGTCTCTTTCATTGTTGCTCATAATGTCACTTTTGTTTTTCTTTTGAGCTTGTCCTGTCATCTTAATCTCACTGAACTTCAGTCTTTGAAAGCTGTTGGTGAAAAAGCTGTATAATAGCCCAATCAAAGTGTTTACATCGTGTAAAAAAGTAATGGCTTTTAGTCTGGAAACTACAATGATAAGATAAAGAATTACTAAGCTCACTTTCTATGTTTAGGTCAAGTGATCTAAAGAGAAATTATAAAGCTGTAGAATTAGGGGTTTTTATATTGGCATATTTTTTTTAAGAGTGAAATTAGACCAACTCAAAGGCCACATGACAATGTAAAATAAAAGCTTTGAAAGTAATGCTTGCCAAGTGGTAGAAGGAGCACTTCAATCTTTGCTCTAACAAAGCTAACATGGGAATATTTGACATGTGACATAAGGTACAGGCAAACATTACAGCCGCACTCTGGTTATTGTTAAATAGATTTTCTATAGTTAGTTTCTCTTTTGCAGCACACAGTAAATGCATGACTCCACCTTGTGTCTAAATGTAAGATCCAGTTCCAAAGAGCCTTGTGTCTCTCATGGATATGAACAAAAATCCCTCTCAGAGACACAGGGTGTCCTATAACCCAGAACTTAATTAAGCAGCGGTGCGACGTTTGTGCATTAGTTGGTGCATTTAAAAATAGCACGTGCAACTGTGTTTGTCTTTGAGACCATGTGTTTATGGCAGTCTAAGCATATCTCTGTACCTTTTATGTCTGTGTGTGTGTGTGTGTGGTGTGTGTGTGTGGTGTGTGTGTGTGTGTGTGTGTGTGTGTGTGTGTGTGTGTGTGTGTGTGTGTGTGTGTGTGTCTGTGTGTGTGTGTGTGTGCGTGCGTGTGTGTCTGTGTGCGTGGGCGTGTGTGTGTGCGTGGGTGTGTGCGTGTGTGTGAGACCCTGACCCTGTTTTGGCAGCCTTTTGTAGTTAGCTAATGATGGAGTTTTTAACAGTAAATATATCTGCAACAGCCTTGATCTGGATTAGAAAACAGCTTTAATGAAGAGAAAGTGGGACAGAGGCACACTCATAAAAACCAATGAACATGGATGTTGCACAAACAAAACCTTCTCATTGGACAAAAACACTCATTTCAGACAAACAAACGTAATGGTTTGGCACATTATCAGGATAAATTACTAGCAAGGCAGATGAAGACAAAGTCAGTACAGATGAGGACCACAAGAGGATTTAGAGAAAGAAATCAGCTGAAACTCTTTTGAGAGTAATCAGTTTGGTCTTTTGTTTTCTGTGCTTTCAATCAGAATGCTTTTCTTTTTTTTCTCCAGATCAAAATTTCAGTTTCTCATTCATCATTGATCCATACAGACAAAAAGCCACCGACCTGCCACTGAAGGTGTTTTTTACTGGAGCTCGTTCCATCCCTCTAGGCCCCTCCACTTCAGCACCGGCTGCCTGCAAAGCAAACACAAACAAACACATGCAAATACACACAACATCTGTCTTATTAGTCAGCCAGTGCTTGGGAATTTTTAACACTTAACAATAGCAGGAAATCAGTAAAAAGAAGAGATTACATTAATTTTAAGAAATGTGACTGAATTAAAAAAAAAAAAGATGTAAGCAGCATCAAGAAAATCAAAGAAGCTCCAATGTTTTGATTTTAACCTTCATGAACTTCGTTTGAAATTCTGAACCCAACAATTAAATTGTTATAACTAAAAACTGACTGGAACACAAAGGGAGAAAAAAGAATAAATATGTGAAGTGATGAGAGAAGAAGATGGTAATTTGATCAACAGATGAAGCACTAATTAATTTTTGAAGGCAAGCAGACAATCTTGTTAACCAATAATAAATCAAAGTATTAGTGGGCATGGCAACCAAATGTAAAAGGCAGAAATGCATTATTTTTCCACAATATATTATGATTTACTGCAAACTAATTATAGCAGTTCTGAAGTCAATCCAACATATCTGAAACATTTATTTATTTTATTCACTTGATTTGTTATGTAGCTCCCTCTCAATAAATTAGATAATTAAAATACTACTTTTAATTATATTACTCTTATAAAATACGATTCTTTTAATTACTTAAGTTTAAAAGTAATAAAAAGAATGGTAGAAATGTGGCCTCTGGCAAATGGAGCTGATACAGTTGGATAAGATTTTCAATGACAAATTTATACCTTCCAGAATGAAAGAAACCAGCAACAACACAGGATATTTTTCTTTTATTAGCTATGTTTTTTTGCTCTTGTTTTAGCGTCACTGTATCTAGGGCCAGAAACATCCAACAACTTTTTAGGTGCTTACAAATTCATTAAACTTAGCAAATACAGTACAATGTTGGAAAGAAAGTTTTCTAGACCAACAAAATCAAAAACCCCCATGGTTAGGAACCTTTAACAACTTCCTCTTATTAGGACAAAATTGAGTTTTTGTCACCTCTGTACCAGCTCCTTTAATCTGATCATTTTAAATGATCATACTGTTACATACTGTTGAAAGTGCAATATGGTGATTTCAATTTTACAGTGGCACAATTTTTGAATCAAAAAGAAAAAATAAATTCCACTTCAGTACAAAGATAAACATGCTTCAAATTATAAGGATATTTAATTCATATTAGAAATTCCAGATTTACACATAAGCAAATATGCAACTATCACAGGGTCATCTTAGAGTAGGCGTACACCCCGGTCACACATTTGTGTAAACATATGGAGGCGAACACACAGGTCAATAAGGTTCTGTGTTAGTAGATGCCTCTAATGGATTCAAAACATGACCTTCAACCTTTTACCCCCACCATCCTACCCACCCATATGACCCATTCTGACAACTTCAGAAGCAAAAATCAGAGAAAAGAGAAAGAATGAAACAGCAAACTGAGTCGAGAATCAGATACACAGCGGATGTAAAGAGATGTAGGAGGGCAAGATGAAACCTAATAAAGACCGACGGCCAGTGCAGTAAACATATGTTGAAGCTTTAGTGGATTGAAAATTAATTGGTCTGGTCTGGCTGTTAATGCTGTCATTTGAGCTTAATTAGTAAAAAGATGACAGGTGACATTAATTATCCCAACCTCACTGTCATGACAGTCACTCATATATTAATTGCAGAGCTACTGGCGCTTAATTGTGTGTCTCATTTAATGAATGAATGCAGAAATAGTTTCTCTGCATCATTCTCTCTATGAAAGAACAACATATTAATTACAAAGGCCAGCAATGCCTGTAACGTATGAAAGGGCAATTTAAAGCAAGTAAATGAATCTGAACGAATAAATGTGCCTCATTATTCACATAAACATTTGAGCAATTTCATAAAACACAGACCAATTACAGTTATTGAACTTCTTGTAGAAAGGGCAGCAACAAAAGTTGCACCTTGTACAAATGTTTGTATTTTAGATAATACACTGGTTTTCAAATTAAGATGAGAAAAATACTAATATCATTACATGTTGTAGCAATCTGTACACTGTGCACCAAAAAGTGTAGCGTTCAAGGATGGTGAATGTCTAAGGTAATTTTAATGGTGTGAAGAAGGTATATGTAACAAAAAAAAAGCAAAGAAGAGAAAAGAGACAACTACTTGCCCAAGAAAGCCTCAATGAGTTGAAAAGTTGTAAAGAAGATTGGGCAAAAAAAGTACTCCATAATTATGAAGAGGACTAAGACATACAAAAAAGCAGAAGTTCAATTTTACATGTTATGGGAGGTTATACAAGGTATTTTATTATGTAGTGTACCAAACATTTCCTATAAAAGTACTGACATATGTCGAACCCTTCTTTTTCTCAACAGCTATAACATAAGAATACAGCACCAGGGTAAACAAACCATTGGGTTTCACCAAAATGTAGAAAAAGGTATAATAAACAGAGATTAAAAGACCTTATACTTTAGAAAACAAAATATAACCACATTAAATAATAAAGATTTATGTAACATACTGAGGGGGAAAGCTATGAGAAAAATAATACATCATTCTGTCAAGATTTGACATCTTAATCAATACTTTTGAACATTAGTGGCCCTCCAAAAACTGAAGGACAGAAAAGCAGGATTTCCATTTTAACTCTGTGATTAATAATCCTGCGTTAAGTAACTACTGCTCGTGTATAATAAATGGGCTGCAAGCATTTATTATTCTTGGTCCAATTTAATAATTGCTCAAAGTGGATAAAAAGACCAAACTATTAGTGATATTACTAATTAGTAAATGACCAATCAGCCAAAGTGTTCCCTGAAATTGCTCCAAGGGTGAGTATGATAAATGTTGGAATGCTAGCTTTGCATTTTTTCCATTTATACTGGATGCATAGTTTATATTTTCAGATTTATCCGTATGAAAGTTGTAATATGAAGATAAACGGTGAAAATATGATTCACCAGGTGCAAAGTATTTGAAGTACTTTGCATCTGTAGAACACTGTCTGTTGTAACATATTAAAATATACAGATAAATATATATATTGATAAATATATTTTTTATCAATATCACAGAGTGCAGATGGTATAATAACCTTGCAAAAAAAGTTACCTCTTGTCATTGAAATGTCAACAGCAACCATGCAGGGTAACACACAAGTCAAGTACATGCATATGAACCACACACAGAAAGAAATGCAGGTGTAGCATGATAAATAACTGCTCTGCTGCCTTATTAGCCCCAAAGGTACTTTGTGCATAAGTAACAACTTCATGTCTGTCACATTACCAGCCACCTTGTGTGTCTATATTTGTTTAAAGTTACTTGTGTTTTTAAATATACAATATGATACAAGAAAAAACAGAAAATAGATTTTCCCTACTGCATTGATTTGCACGTTTAAGCAAGAATTGTTCAGACTGTAGGACTTGATTTTTTAGAGATTAAAACTACATAAAGGAAGTTACAAGTGAGTAGGAGAAAAGACAGACAGAAAGAAGAAAGACAGAAAATTACTGCAAAAAGAGTACTTTCTTCCCTTCACTGCTCTCACCAAAAGGCCAAGTGACAATTTGAACAATTACCCTGGAGCCATTACCTCTGCTGGAACCTGACTGGTTGGGAAGAGCCACATGAGTGTGTGTGCGGGTGTGTGTAGGAGTGGGAGTGTGTGCACATACCAGGATATGGATGCATGAGGTAAGGGAGAAATAGTAACAGCAAGATAAAAAAAAACTTGTATAAAGAGAATTTTTTTTTTTATTATTTATTTACAGCAGATGCTTCTCCAGAGACATTTACTGCATCGACACTTATGTGGTGGTTGTTACAGCACAGCAGGTGTAAGAGTGAAAAGCAAAGACAGCAGGAAGACTTTAGACACTGAAGGCCATCAAGCAGACAGAAAGCTGCTGGGGAAAAAATAGGCTATTCTATTTTTTTGCTTTTAAGTTTTAATAATTAGACCAATTTTAACAATTTAACAATATAACCTGATGTATTTTTTGCTATATGACAATACATATCACGATATTCTTAAATGAGCGCCAATGTTATTGAAACTACACTTCTTGTAACATGATGTTACCCACACAAGTTCCCGCACCCATTTCCCTGCAAGACACAAGCTCATATAAAAAGAGATGCAGTGTTTTGCTATAAACTGTCTACAGTATGACTAGATAACAAGGAGAGAAGTAAGTTTTAACTAAAAAAAAAATTGCGAGGGAGAGGGAAGTAGCTCAGTAATGCTTGACTTTAACAAACTTAACATAAAGATGTGTTGAGGAATGTTTTGGTTCAGTTTAAAAACAAAAAGGTGACCTACACAAAAACTGACAAAGCATCAGTAAAACAGGTGTTTAAATTAGCTAATCAACCACCACTGTGTTAGCGTAGCTAATAGCAGAGGTAGCTAATCTGCCACAGTGAACACTTATTAATAATTGCAAAATACACATCAAGTCTAAAAGCATAAATCTGTAACGTTCTGCTCTTGGTGGGGCTAATGTTTGAATGGTTTTGGTTCTGAATCCTAATACATAAAGTTGCATTGCTGTCACTTGCTATGGCAACTAGACTATATGTGAATAGTGGCTTCTTGTGTCCAACATGTCATTCTTTTGGTGATTATCCCTATTTCATGACTGCAGGCAAAGGCTATACAGTAAATCTTTTCCCAGTTCTTTCGTCTTCACAAAAGTCATTTTGAATTTTACTTAAACATATCAGGCTGTCTCAGACCATATTCACACAGTGGTAAATATGCTAAATTTTTATAAAGAAAAACTTCGAAAATGCTGTCGTAGGTATGCAAATCCAAAAAGTGTCAATATAAGACTGCCACAGAATGAGGCAATAAACATAGAACACTAAAATGCACCAAACTGGTTAATTGTAAGATTGCGGCCCATGCGGGTAAAGATGGAGATAAATAAGGTGTTAGTAAAACACCTTATTGATCTCTTTTTGAGACTTGAGATTGCCATTTTGAAAATGTGTCCACTCTGGGACCCGTTTTCAAAAATTGTTTCTGGTCTCCCAAACCTCCAGATCTGTGTGGACGCACAACCAAAATAACAAAAAACCTTTGCAGTTACACCCAATCCCATCTCTGCGAGGCCACAGGCTTTGAAGAAAAAATTGAAAAAAAAAGCACCTGATGATTTACTAGTGTAAGCATACAGCTAGTTGTAAAAATGTACGCCTTTATGTGAAACACTCAAATCTAATTCACAATGCAGTTATCATGGATCAGAGCTGGGAAATGTTGATATAAAAGAATAAGGCTGTAACGCTCACATCTAACTAAACACTTTAGCATCCTGTGTACATGCTGCACTTCTCAAATACTTGGTTGCCCTGAGCAACATTAAGTAGAAACACTGACCACCTCTGAGAACCAAACATATTCCCTAAACAAAATGAACCTTGCAAACATATCATTCTAAGGGGAATACAGACTTATTAAGAAAGGATGTTTGTCCAGTAAGGAGTCTCGAGGGGAGAAGGCCCATCACTCAACAGTTCAATTATGCATCGAGTTAATTTAAGCGGTGAACTTGAGGGATCTTCTTTGTTCAACAACAAAGAGGAATAAGAAACAGTGACACCATCAACAGGCACCAAAACTACATCTCTAACCAGCTAGAAGCCTGTGTCTAATTGGCTATTTTATTCTACAAGGTAGATAGGTATACATGTCAAGAAAATTAAGACATTCTGAGTACAATATAACTAATTACTATATAAAACTAACTAATGTACATAATATGAAACGTTTCGGTTTAAATTCTTTGAGGACCTTCAGAATTATGTCGATTCAAGAAGCTGGTGTTTTAGATGGGGTCATTTACTTAAGACCACAATTTCGAATCGGCACTTTATAAAAAATAAAGTGAACTTAACTGAATGTTGTCTCTGTTCAGTTTTGTACTTAAGACAACATGGCCAGATAAAAAGACATCTTGCACTTCACTAGCATTGAAAGTAGAGAAGTGAAACTGAGCTCAGCAGTAGTAAGGGAGGAGCAGATGAAGCTAACAAAAACTGTGACCTTTGACTTTTAGGAAATTTAGAGATGGCCTCAAAAGATAGAAGGGGGGCAAACTCTTGAGAGTCATCCATCTTCATTAATGGAGCCTGATGTGGCAAAATGTGTCTGAGAAGCAAGGAGGGGAAACGAGAGTCATAATTTACCCCCTTCTCTTTAACCACATGTATCCTCACATATTTCACTGAAAGGGAAACTGCTGACCTGCATCATTGAACCACTTGAGGATTGAAATTCTGTTGCCTGTCTGGACCATTGATTCAGCGGTACACAACCTGCTAGGTTAGGTTTAATATATCTGTGTTTTTAATTTATTCTTAACTCCACTGGACAGGAATTAATCACCACTTGCAAGATTTTAAACGTAAAAGACTCCAAAAACAACTTCATTCAAGAAAAAGAAAAAAGGAGTGTTGCAAATTTTGAAACTGAGAACAAGAATGCTTTTCAAGTAAAAGGGCAAGAGGTCACTAAAATCAAAGTGTTTATCCCCTTGAGAATCTTAATGTGCTTAGCATATTTAATGACAATCTGGCTATTAGATTACAAAAGCACTGGAGAGAGTTCATAGTGATAATATATCAAAGTAAATCAATATCTCCAAAAATCTAAGAGAAACAGAAAAAAATATGAGAAGTTTAATCCTGAAATGATTGGTTGAAAGACTAATTGAAAGAGACTGCATATTGTTTGTGGAAGCCAAAGTAGGATAGCTCAAATAGTTAAATTGTTAGAATTATAAACAAAAATCAGATGAGAGTTGTCAACCACTTTGAAGACTTCATGAAAGGTGCTTCGATGTGACAACTGTCTCCAGCAGGTAAGCAAACTATTCCTGATAACTTCATAAAATTTAATTTAGGAAAAAAAAAACTATCCCTATAAAAATTATCTGAACTTCTACATATTAAGGAAGGAATAACCAACAGTCCACATGAATGCAAAGAAAGCAAACAATCATAGATTAGCTCTGAATTCAGTCTGCTTACCCTATTCAGTCTGCTAACCCTATCTCGGACCCAAGCTTTGGGAAACAGGGCTGAATGTGTTGATCAGTGATTATTGGAAGTGCTGAGGATTCTGAAGTTATTTTGCATCTTATTACATAGAACAAGAGTTTTCTGTTTCCAATTTTACTACCCTATAAAATTGGGTACAGACAAAACACTTATCACCCATTTCCACGCACTCATGTGCAAATAATTGCACATTGGCTTGTGTTAATTAGACTCTCCAACATGTCTTCTAGGTTTCTTATTAATGCAAACAAATTTAATTTATTTATTATGCATGTAAATACTTTTAAGCTTGTTGATATTTTCTTTATTATTACCACAACTTCTGAGTCTTACCATCACAGTGCTATCTTCATTGTAGGAGGGTTCAGTCTCTGTTGTTTGGGGGTTGAGGGCTGAGTCACTGCTGCTCCTCACCAGCAAGGGTGTGTCTGAAAATAAATAAAACACACAAAGATATATATATATATGTCGTATATTTATTTGATGTACGTAAACTTCAGGTTTCAACTTTAAAATGAAATTAGATCCAACTAATTTATTCTCACAACCACAGAAAAAATACAGTCTGGCTCAAAAATAGGCCAACAAGATGTTGCACTAAATTGCCATTTTATCAGTGATGTGTCTCGCCTAACTTTTTGTTTAAAACAAAAACATCCAAAGTGCTACAGCATCTTAATCAACTTAACAGCCAGCCAAATATGTGTATGTATGTCCACATGTATAAGTAACATACAAATCCCACAACCTCACACTGAATGTTCTGACAGCAAATGCTGCAGAGGTGACAATGTGCGGGAAGTGTGAGAAGTTAATGTATTATCTGCTCACATCCCATCGGTGAACACACTGTTGTTCATGCATCCAAATGGCCAATAAGTGGCTGATTTGTAGATTTGTGTGTGCAAGTAGGTAACAGATGATAATGGCTCTTTTCTTCACATCTCATCGGCCCTCTGCATAAAATCATCATTTACCAAAAACTGATAAATGGAACACACCGCGCTGCCGCTTGTGCTGCTGATGGGGCTTTGGGGGAAGAGTGAAAACGAGAGGAAAGTCAACACTGCAGAAAGCTAAGCAAATAAATAAGATTTAATATGCTGTGGTTTTTACTATGATGCGTGCGGTACACTCTAAAGATTCACCATTCCCACTCATAGGGACCATCAATCTGTACATATACATTAAGAACACTGTCATGTACTCGCCTAAAGCTCAATTGGGAATATAATGGCATAGGTGGTAGCGTGGGTGGAGGGAACTCTACACTGTTAAAGTACTCTGAAGACATACCGAATGATATTTGTAGGGTCATATATTGATTGTCACAAATGGACCCATGGTGCTCTTAAGAACTACTGGGGAATATGGATTACATCCAACCTCTAATCAATTCATCTCCTCAAAGGAAGACAGTTACAGGGAGATGGTTTGATGGCCAAGATAAAAGGTAAAAATGAAAGAGTTATTTCAGACAGACTAGTAATTTTTGCTGAATGACATGCACAATGCTTCAGTAAAGTGTTCATACGCTTAGAACTTCAACTCCTTTTGTGAGTTTCAGTCTACAGATGTCAATGCATCTTAATTTAATTGGCCAAAACACTTGTTTTTCAAATTATTTTTTAAAGGCAAACATTTTAAATGTGCTCATATTTTTATTGGACTGCCCTGAATCAATACTTTGCTGAACCACCTTTGTTGCAGTTACAGTGGACCCCCCATATTCCTAGGAGTTAGAGACCACAACCACCCATGAATAGCTGAAATCTGTGAACACTTGAGACCCCCTCTAAAGACACTCACTATTGCCTATTTTAATTGTTCAAAAACAACATGACTCAATAAGCAGTGACACAACGGAAAACATCTTTGCACTTCTACAGAAGCTAACTTCCAAAGTATTCCTTATTTCCGCTCATGGGGCTACTGCCAATCAGCGCAAAAAAAAAATTTAAAAAAAATTAAAGAGACTCCTGGATTGGCAGCTCTGCAAAAACCAGCTAATAGTTTGTCAAGTACTATCGCACCTCGGTATTGCGTCGTCCCAAACGTCATTTTGTTTAAAATGTCTTTTTTTTTATCTTCATCAATCAAACCAGCAATCTTGGATATGAAGTACAACCCCTCTTTCTATTGATATTTATGGATGTAATAGTCCACAAACTGGAAACTAAACCATTTTTTTTTTATGTTTAAGGCTGATTAATGTTTTAGTAAGAAACAATATGTTAAAATGACACAAATTAAATACCTGCAATTAAAACATAGCTGTTTTGCAAGCTTGCAGAGGTTTGGTCTATGCAAACCTGGTTGTTTATGTCACTCCCTTTAATTTATAACTAATTTATGTTGCAGTATGTTATGATGGCAAAGAGGCCTCATAAGGAGCCACCACCATGAAGAGCCATTTTCTGCAGTTTAAACTGTTGTACTAATTTCGATTTTTGTTCGATTGTTGGTTTTTGATTTCCCTTTTGGTTCCACAACTCCAACACCTTGTCATGAAAACACACATGCCAAATGATGCGGGTGAATTGACTTGTTTGATCTGAAAGGACAAAGTGATCCATAATGGTGGATTCATGGTTGCATGTTAACAGCAGAAGTGTGATTTCAAAAGGGCTTTAAATCTTCTGCAACCAATTGCTGAATAGTGGCAGATTTTCTCTTTAGAAATATCCACTTTTTAAAGGCTAAACTTCAGTGAGTATTGTACATCCAAGACAATAGTATCAAAGGTATTTCTGGGCATGTTAACACCAGTACTTTCCTACAGAGAATCACATGGGTGGGGGGGAGATGAAGATGAGAAATGGCAAAGATTGGAAAAAACACTGTGAGACTGTCAGAAGGAGAAATGATGAGCAGCAGACAACAAGCTGCTGAAGACGAAAAGGAAGAGTCAACTTGGATTGAAATTCAAAACAACAGACAGTTACACAGGCCTAATCCCAATCTCCTTTACACGATCATCGTGACATTCTCCAGACTTCTATTACCTTCAATCTTACCGCTAATCTTTGCTGACAGGTGACTGTACTGGACTAAACTAAACTTCCCATCCCAGCAGTATGGAAAACCCAGCAAGGGTCCCTGTTTTGATTTAAGACAGGGATCTCACACTCCAGTCCTCCAGGGTTGCTGTCCTGCAGTTTTTAGATGTGCAACAGGTACAAAACACTGGAATGAAACAGCTTAATTATCTCCTCCTTGTGTAGATCAGTTCTCCAGAGTCTTGCTAATGACCTAATTATTCCATTCAGATGTGGTGCAGCAGAGGCACATCTAAAAGTTGCAGGACACCGGCCCTTGAGGACTGGAGTTTGACTCCTTGATTTCAGACGTTTGTACTTTAGTATTATAAACTTTAAGTTTCAATGAAACTTTACCTTTCAAAGTAGAGTTTTTTTGTTTAAAAAAAAACAAAAAAAAAACATAAAAATACAATATATTTAAATTTAACAGAAAACGGATGATAATTGATCAACTCTAAAAAGAAAATAGATTCATCCAGTCTATATGATGAAGGACAAAAAATAATTACCCCACTGATGGAATGCAGCTTATGAATAAATGTTTAAGTGAAATAATTTGCTTTGGCTGGATGTAAGAATACAAAGTTTATTCAAATCTGAATGACAACTTTAAGCCCCCTTCACAACCACATATGCAATAACTCTAGTGAACAAGCACTTGACTTGAAAAAATACAGAGGACTGTGAAGAAGAGACGGAGAAAACCAAACGGAGACAGACGCAGTGAGAGAATAAAGGTCATGCAGAAGAGTCTGGTTCAGGTAACACTGAGCAGACACAAACACCGGTTTTTGGCCTGCAGTCTGACAGAACACACGCACTTCCTGGCTTCCTCTCCTCATCTAACTTTCTTTGGCCCGCATTTCAATGACACCGCTTCCAACATTCTAGCCTCTGCCATCTTGCCTTCATTAATGTCCCACCCATCACATCCTGACCTTTGACTGTGCTGGAATTCAAAGTTAACAGTATTTTTCCAGTGTATCAAAAACAAAAGGCTCTAATATTATGCTTGTAGCCTTGCAAAAGAAGGTTATACTGCAACCTTCAACTGAAATGTTTGTGGGGTTTTTTCTTTGTTTTTACAGTACCACCAAAGCTCAGCCAAGCAAACAATGTTAAACATTTTACATAAAAAAAAAAATCTAATTCTCAGGTAGATCTTAGTAAGATTACAAAAAATCTTACAAAGCGCATAACATATCAGTTGTATTTCTCTAATGTTCTTTCTAAATTTATTTCTCAAGAAGTGAAAAAAGTGTTCACAATCAAAGAAACAAATGACGAAGATTTAGGAAGGATTAAAATTATGGTATCAAGTTAAAATCTACTTTTTAACTCTTCCACAATTTTACCACAACACTGAAGAGAAGTGTAACACACATAAAAAAAACTTGCAAAAGCACACACATGGTCAGTTTAACCCCACTGGACTGCGCAGAAACAAACAAAAAACCTTGTGGGATCAAAATGACAGCATCTCTTCAGACTGCAGGAGAAATAACTAAAATATTTTAGATTTTGAGGTTCTCTAAACTCCTAAATCAGTTGGTATATCTTTATTTTACTTTGTCTTTTCCCAACATAGCATTTTTTCTTTCATACATTTTTAACTTATGTGTAATTCTTTTTTTGTTTTGTTTTATTTGTCTAATCGCCTTGTGACTGACCATATTTTACCTTCCTTTCATCCTATCTCATCTGGTTGTAAATATCTAAACTTATATCATCTGTGGTGTGGAAAATATTTGAATGTGTTGCAAAATGTTGATTTCACATGTTTGGCCAATGATTAAGAGCTGCTACAGCTGTTGTTGAGATGCTATAACAAATGGTAAAAGAGCATATCTAGGTCTGTAGAAACAAAATACTGTATAGCTAGAGTTTTAACTCTTGGTAACTTGTGATAATGTATAACTTGTTTTTTATGCCACTTTAGGAAATTGTGGTGCTCAATACGGGTCATTACAGTGAAAACAAACTTACTAGATTTGAGGGCTGAAGAATTGACTTCAATCTCTCCTCCTGTGATTGGCTGGAAAACAGAAAGTTCAGCTTGGTGGAGGTCAGGGCTCGGGGTCAGGCTCGTGTCAGCCACACCTCTCTGCTGGGCTTCCTGCTCCTCATACACCGCCATCAGCTATAAAAACATATATAGAAACAGCAGATTATTATGAAACTGCCTCACTCAGAATGTTACGCACTTTAGCGCAAAACTCCATTTCCATATCTGGTTTCTAAACAAAAGATTCAAGGAAAACTAGTTTACAACGATGGGTATTTTTATCTTAAGGCACAAGCAAACACCAAAATTGTCTTTACTGGTCTAAATTTGCAATGAATTTATAAATGTCAGGATAATAAACAACCTTAACACGAACAGACAAACAACTTCCGTGTTACCTTCTGGATGAGGACGCTATAGAGGACATCTAAGGAGCCCAGCATTATTGTGATAATGTGCACCTGGTCCTAACTAGCAACTATCTCCATTGATGCACCTTTTGCACATGTGCAGAAGCCTGCTTGCTCTTCACCATGTTATATAGTGGAATCCCTGTCTATTGAGTCTGCGTTTAGCCTAACATAGCAGAGGCTGTCACCACAGTGTTCGAGGGGCCTCCATGCTAGTGCTGAATAGAACTGTCTGGGCATGTATAAGTGCGTATAGCTACATTTGTGTGGTGTGTCTATAGTCACCAAGTATAAAGAGAGGCGAGTTTGCCAGCAGAGCCAGAGGTTTCCTGCTGCACCGAGATGTGTGAAAAATACTCTTCTGCATTCATTCTGTCCCCTGGCTATTTATGCTTCTAACTTTGTCCTCACATAGCACAATCTACAACTTGTATTGATTAGGCCACTATGCGTACAACAGATCTACCCTTCCTGTTCAGCACAGCCTCACGAGGCAGAGAGCAGAATAGTATCGAGTTACACAATATCGCACCTTTCTCGCCATGTTCTCATCCATATCTCACCAGTTATTCTCTCAGACTCTCACACATCCATGTTCTGTCACCCTCCCCACTTCCATCTGTCTAACACAGATTCATCTCATTGTGCTCTTCCATGTCTCCTCTTATAACAAACCGCCTCTGACATTTTTTCTGGGCTTTCTTTCTTTCTTTAAAGCTTGCATTTCTTTCAAATCACCTTTCCATCTTTAAACCAGGTCCTCTTTTGTTAATACTCCATTTATTCCCCCCTGCTCTTTTCTTGTATTATTATCACACGTCTCTGTCACATTCACTCTTGGAATATGAAATCTTGCTTTGATTATGTAACTCAAGTGAGCTACATTTGATAAGGATTAGTTATCCTCATCCTGCCTTATATGACAGGCTTCCTCAGTGAAAGCTGTGAATAGTTTTACTGTTATCCAGAAGAAAGGCACAAAAACGGCAGCCACTCGTCACAGAAACAAACAGGGGACTCATGGGGACAGAAAAACATGTTTCCCATAACAAGTTAAAAGGGATTGACTTAAATCATCTTTAAGTGTGGTGTACATTTGCATTTAATAATTTAAATGCTCAGAAGATGTTGCTCTGATCTGATCTGATGAGATCAAGACTGAACTTTTAGGATTATTGGAAAAACTGCGTGTGGCAGAAAGCAAACTCTCCGTGAACACACCTTCTCCTCGGTGAAGCACATTGGTGGCAGAATCATTTTGTCAGCATGTTTTTGTTCAAATGGAATGTGGAAGCTGGTCAGAGTTGATGGTAAGATTAATGGAGAAAAAAAAAAGCAATACTGAAAACAACCTAATACTTAATACCTGAAAGTGGGATGAGGTTTCATTTTCACCCTGGACAAGAACCCTAATCAAATAGCAAGACCTACAATGAAATTGCCCAGAGGCAAAGAAAATTCATGGCATCTAATGAACCAGACAAATTCAATTCAGACAAGTTAACTGAGCCTGAACCATTTAGCAAATAATAATTAGAAGGGAAAATAAGTTCTAAATGTGTAAAGGTGGAACCCAAGTCCAGTATTTACAGATTCACCTTATATTTTCAAATTATTGAAACATATCTAAGAAATAAAAAAATATTGACTCGCTATTGGCTAATGTTTGCAAAGCAGTCAACCCACAAGCATCAGTCATTTTGCTTGGGGTTAACTGGCTGTATCCCAAATGGCAGCCAATTAGAAATAAGGAAGACTGTAGGCATTCGCTTCTGCAGTAGTACCAAGATGGTATCCACTGTGTGTATTGATTTATATTAAGTCACATTAAAGAGTTCAATCATAACTTCAGGCAATATGTTATATTCCCTGATATTAGATTAAATAAACTAATAAAAATTATCTTTTTTTGAGATTTTTTTGAGACTTGTGTCTACGTCAAACAGACAAGGGATACATAAAATAATTTTTATTATTAAATATAACATTCTTAAATGAATAATGCCAGTTAAAAAGAACACAAAAAGACAAAATAATACAAGGGGATTTTAGAGATAAACCACAGAAAGGAACAAATGTGTGAAAATGTCCAGGCAAACCTGAAAGGGCACCAAGTCTGTAATAAAGCAGTGATGATAAGAAAGGGTAGACAATCAGATGAGATGGGACAGAGTTTTGCCTTTGTTCTGTTCAACAGGACTCAAAGACCTGCCACACAAAGCGACATTGCAACTTCAGCACATGGGGAAGATTAGGCTGTGAGACAAAAAATGGAACACTGCAAAAAATCAAAGCAAAAAAGGAGAGAAAGAAATGATAAAAGATCATGTAAGAGACAGGGACTGAGGAAGAATTATAATGACAATAATGAAGGAGAGTGACAGATAGGCTGTACTGTAAAACCCTTTGCAATGTCAGACAGTTAGGGCAAAAAAGCTAGGCTAAAAGTAAAAAAAAGGTTGTCTGAGTGTCACTGTGTCAAGAGCTGGAGTGGTGATGTGCCCATTTTCTACAAAATCAAACGTGACATACTGTCCCTTTTGTCTCTTTTCCTCTCTGCAATGTAGCATACAAAGCTTTGCAGATATTTGCTTCAGTAGCTCATTACAGCATTTTAAGAAAGACAAAACATATTCAACCTTTTTTATCTCCTACAATGACATTATATTTATATGTAATGCAGTCATAAATTGGTTGAGGTCTCTTGGATATATGAAAGCCAGATCAGATGGTTAACACATGCGCTCATCTGACCAAAAACTAATGGACCTATGCCTGCCTGAAAGCTCACACTTTCATTATGAGGTGATAAAGCAGTGTGACATCATCTGAGAGGGTTAACAGATAATGTCACAGTGCAGTGGATCATGTTACCTCACAAAAGGAGTATCTTGGGTTGTGCTCTAAACTTAACCTCTAGAAAAGGAGAAGATGTCTGAAGTGAGATCACCCTTCCCAGAAATAATTCAAAATTTGAGAAACAAACAGTTAAGTTGTAAGCGGAACAGTGTATTTTAGAAAAAAAAATTGCTTAGACTAGATGTAGGCTAAGAGACTCACTGGTATTTTGGTCGAAAGGTCCATTTTTACTGGCTTTTGCAATAACTTCGTGGTTCCACTAAGTTGTTTTAAACCAAGTTTAACCTTCCCCTCGGCGAATCTGTCAACAAGCACGAGCATTGCTGACTCAAAGATGAAGAGCTCTGTGAAAATCTGCTATTTTCCTCCTTCTCTTCCCCAATTTCAGCGTTCCGTTAAATCAAAATTTTACTTTGATCATGCTGCTGACAAGCTGATGCAGAAATCCCTTTATCAACTTGTTAGCCTCAACACTTAGAGATTTAGGCATTGGGAAGACTATCAGACAAGGCATCTGTGTGCATTGAGTTCGACATGGGATGCTACTCAGAAATGTTTTAATTTTTGATCATTACAATAAACTGTAATGATCAATGTGTTGGATTTTTGCATGTACATTTTTAAACTTTGTCTCTCTACAGAACAATTTACTTAATTTATAGTATGTACTGTAAAAAAATAAACACTCAACTTTCCAGAAATATGTATAAAAACAGCACTAAGCAAGCTTCCTTAGTCATGGCCGTCTGTAGCTTACCTTCTTGTGGACTGAGTCAAAGACTCCTGCTGGACATCTGTCAAGGCCCCATGTCCAGATAGCCCATTACAAGGCCGGAAAAAATAACATTCCTGCTTTAAAGTTCCATTCCTGTTGTATTACTTTTATTAATTTAGTTCTGGTGTTTTTAAACCCGGATTAAAACAGTAACATCAATCTTTTTCATCAAAAGAAATACTACTTTAGGCTGGATACACTTTTAAACAAGTGGCAGATAAGAGATTCATCAAGTTGGCTCCTGTTCTTTACATAAAACAAAAGCACCATGTAAAGTTAAAGATTTGAGTACAACCACTTACATTACCATCTTTTTTTCACATAAAGTGCTTTTCATTTAGGTCGATTATGACTTGATTGATTACTTGAATCAGGATCAATAAAATATTACAAAGGGATCCATTCACTGAGCTTCAAGGCAGCCCATAATTGCTCTCTCACACATACACACAAACCCACACAGACTAAACAATCTTTAATTAAATATGCTTAAGCTATCTGCACACCACTGACCTTTGATTTCCACTCAGGACCACTTACCGTAAAAAAACCTATGGCATTCAAGAGGGTGTGCGTGTATGTGTGTGCTTGAGTACTTCGGCATCTTATGGAGTCAGCAATATCCTTGGCAGTGACCACTTCATCACCATAGATTTAACATCCTCGCTGCACATGACAACCCTTCTCCAAAGAAGCAGGAATATGCATGCATTGAGAGAACCTGCTATTTTTTAAACCAGGCAGCAACTTTTACTGCTTCCTTTCAGTGGAAAAATAAGGAAAAAAAGAATCAGAAAAACACACATTTTAAGTCACTATTGCAAATATGTTAATTTTCTGCCATCTGTGCTATCTCAGCTGTCCATTGTACTTCTGATAAAAATTACACAAAATTAGAAGAAAAACAACAGCGCTATAAATAAATTCTGATAATCTGAATATAACGAGTTGAAGACAGCAAATGCTTGTTTCGGGTCTAACACCGCAGAGGCTTCTCCTGTGATGCAACTGTTCCTCATAAGAAAGAAATCAAGTCTGATCACTCAGGAACACACACATACACGCACACAAATGACACAGGATGGGCAGAC